CTCAAAAAACAAAACAAGCCAGGTGTTGTGGCACATGCCTGTAATCCTAGCACTCCAGAGGTTGAGGCAGGAGGATCATTGGGAGTTCGAGACCAGCCTGGGCTACAAAGTGTGTTCAAGGACAGCCTGAACTGCATAGCAAGACCCTCTCTCAAAAAGACAAATATAAAAATATATAAATTAATAAATTTACCAACAAAGGGGCAGGTTGCTCTGCAGAATGCTGGTCTAACTAGGTGTGGTGGCACATGTCTATAATCCCAGCACATGGGAGGCTGAGGCAGGAGGATTACTGTGAGTTTAAGGCCAGCCTGGGCTACAAAATGAGTTCAAGGCCAGCCTGAACTACAGAAGACTCTGTCTCAAAAAGACCAAAAAAAAAAAAAAGAGGAGGAGGAGGAGGAAGAGGAGAAGGCAAAGAATGCCGGTCCATGGTGCACTCCTCTATGGGGGTCTTTTCTCCACACAGCTAGGTCTGGGGTTGGCTAGCTGGCATGACTGCCTGCACCACCTGGCTCAGGTACCATCTCTCCCAGGGCCACCGCCGTTCCCACCACGGCTCGCCAGCATCCTGCTCTGCAGGTGTGCCAGGCCCAGGGGAGGCGGTACCAGCAGGGGCTCACTGTGGCTCCTGGGCATCTTTGGGGTCAGCGCGTGTGGTAAGCATTTCCTGGCTTTCTCTTCCCACTCAGGGTCCTGGCCCATTTTTCTGCCAGTGCTGATGTGTGTGAGTGTCAGTGTGCAGAAGTCCTTGCAGCTTCTGAGTTCTTTTTTTTTTTTTTTTTTGGTATCAGGAATCAAACTCATGACCTTGCAGGCAGGTGCTGTGCCACTGAGCTGTATTCCTGGCCCCCAGCTTCTGAGTTCTAATCACCACTTTGGATGTTCTTTTCCCAGCGTCCATTAAACATCCGGTTTAAGGGCTGGGCTAAGCACGGGCTCCATACCTGAGCTGCACTCAGCCCAGACTTATACTGAGAGGTTTGTCACCTCTACCTTGTTCCGGGCTATGAACTGAATACTTGTGTCTCCTGTAAAATTCACAGCTGAACTGAGTGTAATGGGAAATGCCGGTACTACTAGCGTTGGGGAGGCTGAGGTAGGAGGATCATGAGTTCGAAGACTGTATCAAAAACACCAAACAACAACAAAAAAAAATTGAAAATCTAATCATCATGCGATGATTTTGGGAAGCGGGGGTACTGGGAGGAGATTAAATCATGAAGGTTGAGCTCTCCTGAGGAAGGTTAGAATCCTTATAGGACCTCAAGTCAGGGGTGGTAGCACATGCTTGTCATCCCAGCATTCTAGGAGGCTGAGGCAGGAGGGTCACAGGTTCAAGCCTAGCCTAGGCAGTTTAGCATCATAGGGAGAACTTGTCATTTTTTTTGGTACCAGAAATCAAACTCAGGACCATTCATTTGCCAGGCAGGCACTGTGCCACTAAACTATATCGCCAGCCCTCAATATAGTTTTAAAAAGCCAGGTGTGGTGGTGCATGTCTGTAATCCCAGTACTCAGGAGGCTGAAGGAGGATTGCTGTGAGTTTGAGGCCAGCCTAGACTACACAGTGAGACCCTGTCTCAAATAACCAAAATGATGATAATGAGGAGGAAGAGGATGATGACAGGGAATATAGTTGAGTGCAAAAGCTCAGGACCAGGGGCTGGGGATTTAGCTCAGCGGCACAGCACCTGCCTGGCAAGTGCAAGGTCGTGAGTTCAGTTACCGGTACTGGAAAAACAAACAAACAAACAAAAAAAGTTCAGGACCATCAAAAAAGTTTTACCATTTTTAACTATGTTTCAGTGATTACGGCAGTGTCACCAACACCATACTGAACTTTTTGACAGGCTGTTCTTGTATCAACCATGATAAACCCTGCCTTCAAAGCCTCCCTGCCCTCTTCATTATTGGCGCAAAAGTATTTCTAAGACGTTTTAATCAAATGTAAGTTGCAATCATATCAACGTACACTGTTCTAGTATGTCACCCTGCTTATTAGCAAAGCCTCTGGTGTTGAGGGGAGGTAGAGATGGACAAGAGGTTTTGTTTTTTTTTTTTTTTTTTTGTCTTTGAGACAGGGTCTCACTATGCAGTTCAGGCTGGCCTTGAGCTCACTTTGTAGCCCAGGCTGGTCTTGAATTCGCAACAATCCTCTTGCCTCAGCCTCCCAAGTGCTAGGATTACAGGCATGCGCCACCATGCCAGGCTATGGGCAAGAGCTTTGCAGCATCTAATCTGGGCGGGCTCCTAGGACCGACTAATGGTCTCCGAACCCCGCTGCGACCCGATCTGCCCTAGCTCGTCGCCCCGGAGTCGGTTAAAACCGGCTCTCGAAGCCGGGAGAGGGCGCTGCACGCGGAAGGCGCCGTGCACGGAACGTGGCCACCAGAGGGCGCTGCCGCTATGCACTTACCTACTGTGGACCGGGTGCTGTCGTAGACAGAACACAGGCTCGGGCGCTCGAAGCACCACTCAGAGCCTGACAACCTAAAAGGCCGCCAGGATGAGGGAATCTGAGTGCGGCTGGGAAAGCGTGACCTCGGGACCTGCAGGGGAGCCCTGGGGGCGTGAGGACAGCAAAGGTGGGAGGCAGGCGACCAGGGCAGAGCCTTCCTTTTATTCTGAGCACCAAGGGGAGGCTGTGGGGGTGGGGACACACCCACCTCCAAGGCTGGTTGTGAAATGAGAAAGACAAGATGTGTTTTGGGAGGTTGACGAAGGAGGATCCCAAGTTTGAGCCCAGCCTGGGCAATTTAGCCACTTAGTGAGACTCTGTCTCAAGATAAAAAAAAATTTTTTTAAGAGCTGGCGATGTAGCTCAGCGCGAGGCTCTGGGTTTAGTTCCCGGTACTGGGGGAGGGCGTGTAAACGCTGCCATGTGGCACGGGAAGGGGAGATAGGTCACAGATTCTCGCTCACTCCGCTCGCAGACGCTGGAACCACGCCAAGAAATGCACCGTGACCTCTGGAGGGAAGAGGAACCGGGGAGGACTTGACGGAGACGGTGGGAGGGGGGTGCGATGAGCGTCACTCGGCTGCCGCGTGGGTCACAGACCACAGGGCGTGGGAGGAGCCGGGCTGCGTGGCCATGGCCACCGCGTCCCCTGGGGCCTGTTCCATGTCAGGGGCTGCAAAGGGACATCTGGCGGCCTGGGACCGTGCGGGAGGGCTGACCCCTCCTCGAAAAGGTAAGGCTGATAGCGTTTGGTACCCGCAGCCCCGGGTCTGGGCCACGTGACTTTAACCTGGGGAGGCAGGGACAGCTCTGACAAACGTGCTCACCGAGATACAGAAGCAAGTGACTCACTCAATTTCACACAGCTAGGGACCAATAACCTGAATCTAGACAGACATGTCAGCGGCCGTGTGTTGTTTCTGAGACGGGGTCTCCCTCTGTAGTCCAGGCTGGCTTCAAACGCATGGCGACCCTCTTGCCTCAGCTTCCCAAGTGCTGGCCCGCTATGCTGTTACCCCTTGTGGTGTGCTGCCTCCCAATCCTTTTGCTGTAGCCTTGTTCTCAGTCACTTTATGCTTTTTTTTTGTTTTACTTTATTCCTTTTTAGACAGGATATCGTGGAGGGCTGTGAGCAGTCACTAACACCTCAGTATGAACTAGCCAATCTGCTCACACCACTGAAAATAAGCACTGCTTTGGCACTTACGGGCCACCAGCTTGTGGGAGTTAAATAGCTGAGCTTTGGAGTCACGATGCCTGGGACTGAGGCCCAGAACCGCCCATTCCCAGCTGTGTGACTTAGGGCGGGCGCCTCACCAAACCGAACCTGTTTCCTCATCTGTGACATTCCTGTTTCCCAGCGGCCCAAAGCCCTGTACGCCTCGCACTTCGGGACCTGGGCTTGAGCACACCGACGCCCTCCCAGCGAGAAGGAACCAAAACCAGGTTCTGGGAGAGGGAAGTAGCGTTTCCTGGCCCAAGTCGGGGCTTTGGGACATGGCCCCTAGGTGACAGGAGGCAGCAGATGACTCACTCACTCTGCACAGGGACAAGGCCACCTTGCCGGCTGGGCCTGCCGGGTCGCCCTCACGCTCTCTCTCCTTCTTGCCCGGCTCAGGGCGCCCATCCGGGTGGGGCTGCGGGAGGCAGATGGCAGCCCGCTGCCCCTCTCTGACTGTGCAGCTGGGGCCCCGGGACCCCCAGACCCGCTGTTAAAATGCGTCAAGCAGCCACTGTCCACTTCTGAGCCCAGCTCCCTGCAGGGCCCAGCAAGGAAGGATCATTTCACTCCTGCTGAGTACGCGACCTCCCTGACCCAGCTCCAGGGCTGCTGTCCATGCCCACCCCAGTCGGAGGAAGTTCCTGCCAGTATCTGGTGTTTTCCCTGGCTCAGCCCGAGGTCAGTCCCTGCACCCCAAGTTCTGAGTCCCCAGATGCGGGTGGCACCCACTGAACCCAAATCCCAAAACATCCTCAGAGCCCCACCTCACGCGGCTTCCTTCAGGAAGCCCTCTGCATTTCCTCACCGCGCCAGGGGAAGGGTTCCTGGCGCCTCCCAGGTCCCTTGTGCCATCCGGCACCCCTGGCGGAGTCCTCCAGGTGACCCCCTCTCTCCGCCAGGGCGCAGGCTCCACGATGCTGCTTCCTGCTCCCCCGTTTATGGTCTCAATTCCGGCAGCCGCGCCAAGGACGCACAGCAGAGCGACAGCTCCACGTTCGCTGTGTGACTGCTGGCGTGGCGGTGACCCGGGCCCCCCTGGGCAGTGTGCATTGCCCCCGGCCCAGGGTCCGGGTCCATGTCACTCCCAGCCTGCTGCACACAGGGGCCCTGCAGCCCGGGGTGGGGGAGGGGGACAGGATGTGAGTCCAGTCCCCAGGTGGCCGCCGCTGGGTCACAGGGCGGTTCTCACGCTCTTGCTGGCGGAGGTGGAAGAAGAGGAGGAGGAGGGAATCTCCATCTGCTGGGGATGCAGGAGGAGGAGGCTGGGAGCTCGGGGAAGCCGTGGGTGACCGTGGACAGGAAAACCAGGCACACGGGTCACTGTTACAAACCGTTAAATACAACACGTACACAGGCCGGGGGCGGGGGACAGCCGGGGTTCAGAGAGGCCACAGCGGTCAGGGGGTGCAGTCCAGCCCGGTCCTATCGGGGGCTCGAGCTGCCGTCGTCGGAGGGGCTGGGCTGGCGGAGGCCTGGCTGCTTGTGGAGGCCTCGCAGCTTGGCCAGCAGCTCCTGGACGAAGTCCTGAGGACAGGGTGGGCGCTGAGAATACAGGGAGGGGGTCTCCCAGTCCCTCTGGCCCCCCCCCTTCCTGCTGCTTTGGGGTCATGGGAAGGATGTGGAGTTAGGGAGGGGTTTGGGGCACAACAAGAGAGCAAAATGGAAAAAGAAACAGGGAAAGAGAGAGATGGGTGCTGGGTGTGGTGGCACACGCCTGTTTGCCAGCACTCTCAGAGGCTGAGGCAGGAAGATTCTCTAGAGTTTGAGGCCAGCCTGGGCTACATAGTGAGTTCAAGACCAGCCTGCACTACATAGCGAGACCTTGTCTCAAAAACACTAAAACAGAGAGAAACTGACAAGAGACACGCAGACAGACACCCGGGGATGAAAGACACAGGGACCCAGGAAGATGCTTCTCAAGCCAAGAGGTGATCAGGAGGGTCCCCAGAGACAGAGGCCTGAGACAGCTCCAGGGCAAACTGACACAGCGTGACGTTTGTCCCTCAGGCAGCCCACAGCTGGTTGGACAGACATGAATATTTTTCCCTTTTAAAGCAGGGAAGGAAGTGGGAGGGGTTGGGTGGCCCAGCTTTAGGGCTGGAGGTTGGGGCCCCCCAAGAGGTGGGGCAGGGAGCCCAGCAGTGGAGGGAGGGGGAGGAGGCAGCGGGAAAGGGCAGCCACAGGGCCGCGGGAGGGGCAGACACAGGAGCAGATGGGGAAGCGGCTGGAGCGAGCTCGTCAAGGATCCCCTGCAGCAGATGGAGAGAGAGGAGGAGGAGGAAGAGGAGGCGGAGGAGGAAGACAAAGGACATCGCGGGAGAGCGGGGAAGAGCTGCGCGGGGCCGAGGCTGGCCTCCCTCCTCCTCCTCCTCACAGGCAGAGAAACTCACCTCTGTGGGGTCCGTGCATGACGTCAGGAGCCCCTGCATCCCCCAAGAAAACAGTAAATGATTAATAACTACGGAGACCCTTCCACCTGCCCCCCCCTCAGTCCCCCCTCCTTCCTCACTGCAGCACTGGTAAGAACTCTGGAGCCTGGGGCCTTGGCACTGAGCTACATTCTCAGCCCTTTTTACTTTTATTTTGACAGCGTTTCACTAAGTCCCTAAGTTGCCCTCTCTGAGCTCCAACTTGAGATTCTCCTGCCTCAGCCTCTCACAAGTGCTAGGTGTGTCTCCACCCCTGCTCTCTCCTTTCCCAACAAAGCCCAAAGGCAGCGAGAGAAACGGAAGTTGGGTCCCCAAGGCCTTCAAGGAAAGGACACAGCCTGCAGATCTCACAGAGCGAGCTTGCGGGGGTTGGGTCACCAGGTCCCTTCGTGAAGAAGCCACATGTGTACCCCTGGAAGGGCAGAGACCATGGGGAAACGGCTCGGCAGCCAGACTGCCTGGGTTTGCATCGTGGCTCTGCTCTGGCCAAGCTGTGTGACCCTTGGCGGATGATTCAACTTCTCTGGGCCTCATTTTCCTTGTCTGGAAAATGGAGATAATAACCGTGCCTACTTTAGTGGGTTTTGTGGAGACTGGAACAGTTAGTTACTAAGTGTAGCCGGGCATGGTGGCCCAATCCTGTAATCCCAGCACTCGGGAGGCTGAGGCAGGATTGCAGAGAGTTCCAGGCCAGTCTGGGCTACCTACCTAGCAAGACTCAAAAACCAAAACAAGATGAAGAGTTACTGCATGCAAAGAAATCAAGCCACCGTCTGGTGCACAGTTAAGGGCTCTTAAAATACGTTAACTCTGGCCAGTCTTGGGGGCAACGCAAGGCGCAAGGCTGGGGGCCTTTCACCCGTCTACCTGGATCTTCCGGCTTCGCTCCTCTTCACTCTCCAGCTCCAGCAGCTCATCAATGTTGACCTCATCAGGCATATCCGCCTCCTGTGGCGGGAGAGAGGGCCGCTCAGGGTCCCTTCCCCGCCCTCCCTGGGCTTTGTCCAGGACTTTGGAGGGGCCCCACGGGCCCAGCTGGCAGATTCTGGAGCAATAATGTGGCAGTCAGGGACAGCACCGCCGAGGCGGGACATCTGGGTGCTGGGGGGAGGGGTGACAGATGGGTTGATGGAGGCCTGGGGCCCTGTACCAGCCCGATGCCTGGGCCCATGGGCCCCGGGAACCTCGGGGTTGGCACCGGTCTCTCCCCTTGGCCGCAGTTCCCACCAGGGAAAACAGGCCTGGTCGAGTTTTGGAATGTCAGCTTCTGGGATTCAGGAGAGGGGCTGGCTTCTGCCCTTTCAAGGAAAAGTCTCAGCACTAGGTGCGGGGGAGGGGAGGCTGCTGGGGCGGGCCCCTTCCCCCAGGGGACAGGAAGGGGGTAGGGCTGGGGGCAGCTGGGGCTGCGGGGAGATGACCACCCATGACCCCCAAGGTGGGAGGTCGAGATGAGTCACGCGTCTGTCCCTGAGTGAGCGGACATCAGGGACGTGCAGAGCTTGGTCTCTTGGGGCAGCAGCCCAAAAGACAGCTGGCTCACCACCCCTGACAGGGACAGGACCCAGCTGTCCCAGCAGGAGAGCCCTGTGACTAAGGTCTGACCCCCAGAGTCCTGCTCTCCAGTGGGGGAGGGGGTCGTGTGCAGCAAGGAGGGTCCGGCAAAGCCCTGGGGTGTCTGTGTGTTACAGGCCTGCGTGAGTCTTGGCCTGAGCCTGACACATGGAGAGTCCAGAGCTAGGCATGGAGCAGAAGTATGTGGCATCTGAGTGGCTCCCCACAGGGCCACCCAAGGTACCCACTGAGGATAGCACTGACCTCCATCAGCCACGTCTGCCTGTTCACTATCTATGAGCTCAGATGTGTGCCTGAGAGCAGGAGGGCCTATGTCACTATCGGGGTCACCATCATTGTGCTCAGAAGGTTCCTGTCATGGCACACACCTTTAATTCCAGCACTCTGGGAGGCTGAGACAGGAGGATCCCAGTTTTGAGTCCAGCGTGGGCAACTGAAAGACTTAGCGAGATGCTGTCCCAAAATACCGCCAGCTCTGTGACACTTGGGTCTGTGTATGTGTACTGCTATGTCCGCAAGATACCTGGCTACGTTCCTAGGTACGCAGATGTTATAGGAAGTGTGGCTTCCAGCAAAGGCCCAAGTGACAAAGCATCCATGTCTGCCTGTGGCTACGAGCCGATACATGTAGCTCTAGCTTATGCTGTCATGCGCCAAGGGCAGCCACAGTTGCCGTCGCTTTGCTACCGTGCACACCTTGAGCTTTTGCATCCTGCTGCAGCTGTAACTGCTGTTGATTTCTATGTGAGGTTGGCCATGGCATCTGTGGTTGGGTTTGCTGGCAGCTGTGACTTTTTCCTTGGGAAGGTAACGGATGGTCGTATGTAACTCGAGTGGCTCCGTGGCCCAGGCGAGCCACCACAGCTTGTCTGTGTGCCGCCACCGCTTGTACTGATGCGGATCTCTGCACAGCGGTAACTTGAGTCATCTTGTGTTGAGCGTGGTTGTCGTGTGGGGCATGCAGCTGTGGCCTGTGCTATTGTGTTCTGGGGGTGGCCTGGTGTAGCTGTAGCATGTGCGGACCCATACATGCCCACAGCCTGTGTCCCTGCGTGTTTGTGAGTTCGTGTGTGGCTGTGGCTGTCAGTGGCTGTCACTTGTCACCGTGGGCATCTGTGCGCACTGTTGTTTCCTCTGCTGCGCGTCTCTCGCGCTCCCCTCTCCCCACACGGCGCGTGGCTTTCACACGCCCCTTTCGCCTTTTCTCTGTGTATGGAGGCTGGGCCGCCACACCTCCCATACGCTAATACCGACCCTTCCCGGGGACCCACACGGTGTCTGGAGACCCAAGGGTGCGCGCGCGTCTGTGCCGTGAAACAGGGACCACCGGGACGATGCACGCCTGTCCTCTTGTGCAAAAGAGGGTGCACGTGCACTAGCGTCCAGCCCGGACCGCGCTCCGCCCCTCGCGCCCCCGTCCAGCCCCGGGCCCTCGGGGTCTCACCCTGCCGCGGTACAGCTCCTCCAGGCGCCCGTCTATCCACTTCTCCACGTCCAGCCGCCGCTGAAGCTCCCGCCGGTCGTACTTGACGGTGACGCGCGCGTGGCGCTTCTGGAGCCCCCCGGGGCTGCCCCCCGGCCCGCGGGCCCGCGACGGGGACTGCAGCTTGCTCAGCACGCGCTTGCCCAGCCGCTGCGCCGCCATCCCGAGCCGCCGGCC